TCAGTTGAGCTGCTCATGCGGGCCACTTTAATTTGTTGATATTACAAAGAGTCGTCATCCACAATTCCAAACCGAGCTTGACAATATATGGTTGATGCATGAGATGTTCTTTGGTACGTAAGGTATGAATGTATCTGATTCTCTGTGGAATTTGTTTAATTGCGTATACATATAGTGGATAGTTGTGATAATCCTTTCCTTACGGAGTGTAGTTAGAGACCAAAGTAACAAAGGAGTTGTGAAAACTTTAAGGAGTGCAAGCTTGGTGCATAAGCACTCAATGTTGTATTAGTGTTCAAGACACTAAATAAGAAATTGTAGAAATGTTGAAGTGGTGAATTTATTTATTTATTTATTTATTTATTTGAGGTTGAATTCTCTTTCATTGCAAGTATGCCTAACCCAAAATAATTATTAACCAAACATATCATAAATATTATTTATTTTCATATTAGGTTTTAAAGTATATACAAATCACCTAAATCAAATAAACACAAAAAGGGAGTCTTGTAATGAAATGACATAATTGACCTTATGTGAAACTTTATTCTTAAAAGTAAAAAAAATATGTGACACATAAATAAGTTGGAAGATGTCACAAGTTTTAATTTGCATCTTCTCAATATAAATTGAGGAAAGCTCCAAGGAGGGAGAACTAGAAATATCTGCGAAAGTTGTTGGATGTCCATTTATTTGCTAAAGTTGGTGACTGCATCCCTCTTGTTTTTTATTTTTCAAAAATCAAAATAATGGAAATTGAGTTTCTTATATTATGTGTGAAAGAAATAGGGCTGAATGGACAACTTGTTTCGTAACTTTTTTGTTGTTGTTGTTGTTGTTGGTGGTTTCAATTTATGTAAATTATATTATTGTAGCTCAATTAAATTAATAGAATTCATTTTCTATTTATATTTGGGTATATTTTTACACCAAATCACAATTTACATACTAAATGTTCACGAATTAACTTTTTACAAAATTGTAAACACTCAATATTGAAATTGTATATTTTAAACACGGATTCACTTTACAAAGTGGACCCGAGTCCACAGAATAATTGACATAAGACTTGGCTAACTAGTATTTTTATTCACTTTTTTTTTGTAAGGTCAAACATTCACATGGTGGGTTACACAACTACACACTACTGCCAAAAAAGATTTTTGTTATTGTTTTTTTTTTTTTTTTTTTTTTTTTTTGTTAAGAGTTGTTAAAACATATTTCGTAGCATTTTATAGCTGCCTATATTATTCTAAATTTAATAGGTTGTTCTCGTTGAAATTGAAATTCAAATTTAGTAACATTATTCTTTACCATTTCAAACTCAACCAAACAATAGAATTCATATTCCCAGTAATTTCTTTTCCACCAACCAAACAATGGAAAATGATATTTTATGTTGTTTGGTTGGATGGAAAACATTTTTCATTGGAAAAAGTTTTCCTTGAGAATGAGGAAAACAAATTCTTAGCTCATGTTAGGTATTTTGTTTTCCATGGAAAACTAATATGACAATTTTACCCTCACCATTCTTTATTAATTACTCTTATTATTATATTATTATATTATTATTGTTTTGTAGGGTTATATTTGTCATTATACACATTATTCCTTACCATTCCAAACTCAACCAAACAATGGGAATTCATATTCCCAGTAATTTCTTTTCCACCAACCAAACAATGGAATCTATTTTCTTGGAATTTATTTTCCATGGAATTTCAATTCCATTTCCCTTCAAATATTTTCCAGCGAACCAAACGAGCCGTAAAAGTGTCCAAAAAATAATAGTCTAAGATGTTAAATAGCAAAAACGATAGTCTGGAACTAAATTTAGAATTACCACAAAAAAGAAGGGCCTATGGTGGAATTAACTCTAATTTTTAAAAACAGATTTGTAGATGGACGGTGGGTCACATTGTCAGGCTTTAAAAAAAACGTTTATCAAGTGAATTACACTTTAATATCAAGGGTTACAATTATAATTTCAAACCATTTCTTATGATACCGCTTCTTGCTATTTAATTGTAGACCATTATAACATTTTATTGTTTTTATAAAAGTTGGAAACCAACTAATAATACTCCGATGAGTAACAACCTAGTCCTTTTTTGTTTTGTTTTGTTTTTTTTTTTTTTTTTGAAATCGTAATAACCTAGTCCTAGTTAATGCATATAGGGAACGAACTACGGGATAGATAGAGTCTGCTCAGATTTTCTCCTTTTTTTTTTTCTTAATATATTTTAACTGTTGAAATATATTAATTAAAATTAATTTATTAAAAAAAACTATGGTTTCCGCCGGTAGGTAGGGATGGCAATGGGTCGGGTGTGGGTCGGGGAGGGCTACATCCATCACCCGACCCACCTTATATTTTCTCCACTCACCCCCACCTCCAACCCGCATCGGGTGGACTTTTTTCAGAACCCACCCCCACCCCCACCCCCACCGGGTGCGGGTGCCCACTACGGGTACCCACCACTTATCATCTTATTATGTTTTTCAAAAAATAATATTTAAATTATTTACACATAATAAAAAAATAAAATCCATTAGTGATACTAAAACATAAATAATGGAAATATTTAAATATAATAACTAAATTGTTAATTTTTAAAAATAAACTTAGTAGTTTTGATATAAAAAATAGTAAAAAGATACACGGAGTTATATAAACTATTATAAATAACTACATACTAGTATTTATTTTACTATTATATATATATATACACGCACACATGGTGGGTCGGGTGGGGTTCTAGGCGGGTCTTGTACATAGAACCCGAATCCAACCTGACCCACCGCGGGTTTTCTTTTTTAAGACCCACTCCCGACCCACCACTCACCATCACCCAAAAAAACCCGATCCATGCGGGGTGGATTCGGGTGGATATCCACGGGTCGGATTGAAATTGCCATCCCTACCGGTAGGCATGTCAACGGAGCGGGGCGAGGGCGGGGAGTATACTCCCCGTCCCCCGTGGGGAATTGAAAAAATTTCCCGTCCTCGCAGGGAATTTGGCGGTGATGGGGAATCCCCATCCCCAATCAACCTATAGTCAAAGTTTCAAATTAATACAATTTTTAAAAATACAAAACGAAAAAATTGAAATCCAAAGTCCTAATAGAGTTATTTTAAAAACTATAGTTCTTCAACAATTAACATTCAACTATTTTTAATATCATACGAACTAACGAAGTTCAATCTGAAATAGGAAATGCAAACTAAAAATAATCCAAATGTTCAATATTCAAAAGTAAGTCAAAATCTCCAATCAATAATTTATAACAAAAAATACTATAGCAATATAATAAAAGCCTTCAATTATTCATTTTTCAATCTTCACCATCTTCTTCTTCAATTCAATCGGAAAGAAAACAAAATAAGTTACTTAATTGTTCAAACATTTCTCGCAATACATGAATACTCATAAAGTTTTATAATCTAATAAAACTAAATAACTAATAATATAATTCCTAATTCCTAATATATATATAATTTTATTTTTAAAAAATTTCAAGGATGGGGATCCTCGACGGGGACGGGACATATTTCCATCCCTATTCGTCGAAAACCAGAGCTGTTCTGGTTTGCTCAGTTGGTTTCCCGTTGAAAACCAGAGCAACTATGTTTTCCGCTGGGAATCAAGGTCTGAAATGATTTTGAATTGACTTGATCTGGAAAATGACTTCAGCCAACTTTTTGACGGAAGTCATTTTCCTCCAAAATAATCATATTTTTTAAAGTCAATAAAAATGATTTCCGTTGACATAATTTTTCAGACACATCCAAATACGAGAAACTCAAAAAATAATTTTCATAAATTATTTTTCAAATTTTCAAGCTATCACACCCTTATCAAAAGTAAGTAGGCTCAATATACAAATAGCCAAATAATGTGACACTTGATATCAACTATCGAAATTTTTGGTTCTTTAAAATTTTATTATAATTTGTGTTGTTTCAGTTTTATTCAACAACTTTCCGTGTCATATGAGCTAGCTAGCTAGGTTTAGACTTGAGAGGTAAAAGTTGTGAATTGTATATGAAATTGAAAGAAAGTATTTGAGTAAGAGCATCTTAAAGGTAAATATATTATTATTTATAGAATTAAAATCAAATACAATATTACTTGTGACAAAAGGTGGAATTATAGACCATAATGACTTAACTTTTATAATAAATTTTACCTCTACAATCAGTTGAGTTGTCCATACAAACTAAATACAAAATTATTATAATCTCTATTATCAATACCTAGCATGTGATGAGTCACTCTCCCACTCTACTTCTTTGTAACCTCTTTCCCTACTTAATCGAATTTCCCTATAATAAATGCCAACATTGAAATGAGATCCCGGCCTATGTCACACTCCTATCACTAAAACAGTAAAACCTCCACCTGACTCATCTCTAATAGCTTTTTGCACTACCATCAATGTCTGCTTTAATACTTTTTCCCATTGGATTCGTCCATAATTAGCTTCAAACGCAACTGACATTTTTATTCTACCATATTTGTACCCCTAGCTAAAATCGGTCTATATATAGTAAATAGGAAATCATTATTATTTTTTATTTAAGAAAACACTAATTTTTATAATAATGAAATATTATTTAGAATCACAATTAAGGATCTTTTGGAAAAAAAAAAGACTTCGAAAAAATAAATTATTTTTTAAAAAATATTTTCTTTTTCCGTGTTTAACTGCACAGCAACAAACTGTCTTTGTGTGTTTTGTTCATTTTCTAAAAAAATATGTAGAATTGTATAATTAGACATTTTAAATATTTTATTTAGAATATAAAAATATTTATAAATAATATTAAAATAATACTCCGTATTATTTATTTATTTATTTATTTATTTTTAAAAAGCTAGTTTCCGCTGAAAACCAAAACAGCCGGAAACCATAGCTATTATAGTTTATGGTGGAAACCGGTTTTATGGTTTCCACCGGAAACTTTGTTCTAAGTGTGGCGAAAAATGACTAGATTTTCTTCCGATCCGTCAACTAAAAATATTTTTCATTGACTGAATTTTCCAATTGCATCCAAACACGGGAAACCCAGAAAATTATTTCCAGAATCATATTTCGAGTTTCCAAACACAGCCTAAGTTCATAATTTAAATCTCTTTTTGTTTGTATATTAGTACATTATTCGAAATTGTTGCTCAGTATTCTACAATATAGTAGTAAGTAATAGCTTAGTTAGCTTAGGTTATTAATTAATTAGTTGGAAGGAAAATATGGTTAAAAGCTATTGTCCTTTAGCTAGAGACTATAGAGTATGGACACAAGATTGTTGGACAAATTTGAATGCCAACTTTTGAAACCAAAAATACATGTAAGAGCATCTCCAAAGGTCAAGGTATCTCCAACGGTAAAAATTAACATCATCTCACCATTTCAGCAAAACAGACTCCGAATGTGAGAGGTAGAGTATATTTTCCATTTTGCCCTTGGTATTTTATAATTTCAAATGTATTCTTTATTTGTTTTATATGTGATTTTTATTTGTTGTTAAATACATATATTTAAAGTTTATATTATTAAATATAATAATAATAATAATAATAATAATAATAATAGTAATAATAATAATAGTAATAGTGTATATGCCGTCTAAAACAAAATATAACCAAATATCAATATAAATAATTTCACTATACTATTAAATATATAAAATACTTTCACAAGAACTTCTGTTTTTTCCACTTTTAGTCCTATGACTTTAGTGTCTCTGTCAACTTAGGTTCACAACTTTCATTCCTGACATATGTAGTGCTTGACTTTGATTTTTTTTTCCACTTCTAATCCTTCTGGTCATCTGAGGGACTACTTTTAATCGGAATCACTAAATTATCTTTTATATTTAGATTTAAGAGGGGTAAATAAGTCATTCACCATCACTTAAATAGTAAATAAAAAAATTAAAACTATTTAATTATCTTCTTCTTCCCGTATTTCATCTCCCTCTCTTACTGTAAGCACACATGTGAACAAAACCTTTACAAAATATTCTTCTCAATCAGCCAGGCCTGGACAAATTCAAGGAAGAACAAGTATAATATTGGCGTATTGGGGGTTATTGGTTAGTGCATATTTTATTGTCATGAAAAGATTGTTGGAAGCTCCATGACTGCAACTTGATCCTCTCCTCCTTCTTCTTCAACCTGCACTGCACTTTCATCCAACAACCATTTCTCAAGAAACGTTAATGGAGGAGGGTTATCATTATCATTACTTTCCTACACGTTCTGCTTATTATTCCCACTGCAACTCTCACTCTCCATTCCATTCATCAAGCTCCCAAACATCAGAATAGAATCCAAATACTCGTCCTTCGATATCACCCCATTGTTGTCGTTGCTCCCCGCTAATCCGCCGCCTCCGGGCTGTTCTGGTTTTCCTCCTCGTCCCGGCCGCCACCATGGGAGGTCGCCGCCGTCAACCCCTTGGATGAAGAAGACGAGGATGAAGCTCTCATCCACCCCTCCCTCCAGTAGCCTGGAAATGTTCTTCGCGCTCGAGGCATAGAGAGGAGATGATGAAGTGGCGATCTGTGGCCTGTCAGTGAAGCTATTCTTGGAGACAAGATGATGGTGACTTATTTACCCCTCTTAAATTTAAATATAAAAGACAATTTATTAATTCTGATTAAAAGTAATCGTTTAGATTGCCAAAAGGACTAAAAGTGGAAAAAATATCAAAGTCAAGCACTACTTATGTCAGGAATTAAACTTGTGAACTTAAATTGACGGAGACACTAAAGTCATAGGACCAAAAGTGAAAAAAAACTCCTATTTGATAATTAACTAGTATTAGATTCTTGTTCATGTTCACATGTGCGATCCAAATCAAACACACCCTAAATGGATACTGCACAGTTTCTGAGAGATGTTATATATGGGAGTCACTTCACAATTCACATGCCAAACCCATCATCTTTTTTTTTTTTTTTTTCAAAAAGCTAAGCTGTCTTCTTTAATTCCTCCCGAGCCCTTAATAAATAGAGCCATAGAGGTGTTGATTTTCCAAGGGCATCCTCAAAACCCCACTTCTACTCTCTAAAATGTCAAAGATATGTGTGTGTACGCGTATGTATGTATATTGTACCACATAAAAGATCAATCACTATTTTCAAAAAAAAAAAAAAAAAAAAAAAAAAAAGATCAATCACAAGGTATGATTGAGAGTTTTAATAAAAAAACACATGGTCAATTTTATAATTATTAAAAAAAATTAAAAGCGTGGTGTACGTGGCAAATTATACCATGGATTAGAGTCTACCTTGCATTATAAATCAAGGTCCAAAAATAACCTTCAGATTCTATATCTATAGTTGACACATTCTATACCTGCAATTGATAGTTTATGTACATGTAGCTATCATATTATGTCTCAGCAATTATCAAGTTATTTGTTCATACGTAAGAAACTGTTAACGATATGTACAAAATAGGTTAACTGAAGGTATGGAATGTTTAATCATAATTCACAATGCAATATGAACCCATATTGAACCCCTGGTCCATGGTATAACAATTGGGTGTATATACGCGAGATCACCCATATAAAATTATAATAGATGTGTCATCATACTACATAATAGTTGACAAAAAACTCACCAAATTTACTCATATATTTCATCAATTTTTCTCTATATTTTTTAAAATAAGATTTACATGAATTGTGTAATTTTAAAATAATATATAAATTACGGTGTAATATATAGTCGAAAATAATTTTCGTTTAAATAATGATAACATTAGTTCAATATTTTCATTTGGATTTATTATAAACTCAATTCATTTTTATTTTTGAATGTATATGGATGATAGGCTAAGAGCATCTCCAAGGGAGCTGCAAAATTGCATAATTCAACGCCAAAACACCAAATTTGCAAATATTGAGCTAATTTTGTCATTGTTTAAACTAAAACTAATTTGCAGTATATAAAATGAACTTCTAAATTGATAAAATCAATAATATAATTCTTATACTTTAATTTTATTTGTGAAGAAAAAAGGGAAAAATAAATTTAGATTAAAAGCAAAATACGAAAGAAAATATTAGTTTATTAAAATTTAAAAATTAGTGGCTGGGGTGCATCTTGCATTTTGCATGCAATAATATAATGTATTCAGCTTGCTTTTATGAAGACCGAAGAGAGAGAAGGTGATGGAATAATGTTACGTTGGGTAGGCCATCCATATGATAGTAGCTTGTAAAAAAGGGATTGTGTGTCTTTATGGAGTGAGAGTTGAGAATGATGTCAGCGGTGGAGTGTATATTCTTTGGACACTGGACCTAACCACATTTTCTGGTCAAATAATAATTAAAAGCTGAGAATGGCATGCAATCTTGAATATGGGAATTTGGTTATGGGTATTGATAGAAAGAGAAAAATTACAAATTTTGTTTCTCCATTATTTGTATTTAGTCAGTTTTGGTAATAATTATCAATAAATATTATACTATTGTTATCAGATATAGGGTTGCATTGCATGTATAGTGTAACCTAATGTGTGATTGAGTGAAAATGATTCATTCATCCTTAATCAAAGGTCGACTTCAATTACCGTCCATGTACGATCCATACTAGATCTGACCAATTGCCCATCCTACCTCCTCTACGTTCTTGACAGCCCATCTTTGTCTCGGTAGAGTCTTTCAGTGGCATGTTTCAGTCCTCTTCCCCATTACTTAGAAAAAGTGAGTCACCGGTTCAGGTACAAGATACTATCATTACCGCCTGAACAATTAGACATCCAACCCGTAATCGCAACGACCCAATTGCAAGAGCGGAGCTCTACCAACTGAGCTATATCCCCCGAGTCAAGTGGAGCATGCATGAAGTAGTCAGATACTTCTTCTATTCTTTTCCCTGGCGCAGCTGGGCCAAGTGTTTAATTTTTGACTTTGAGTATGGAACAATCTTAAATCTTTAGGCCAGTTGTGGTGTTATATGTAGAGTAATACTATATATACTCCCACTTTTTACTTCATTTTGTACTTCCTACTGAAGTGTCATTATTTGATTGGTTTAAATAACAGAGTGGACCACTATTTTTCTTCATTCACTTAAATTTTGGAGTTCTACTACATAGACTCCCAAAATTCTACTCCCTCATTTATACTCCCTGATGTGGTAAATCAGGATTGGTTATATTCATCATGTGGGTCCACAGAAAAATGTCTACATCAAAAGCATGTGAGAGGGAGTACAAATTGAGAGTTCAAAATGAGAGTACACCAAGTATTTTCCTAAATTTATTAATACACGTGACGGGAGTTTATACTCCATAGGAGTACATATATTATTTTCCTTGTATGTATGTAGGGTACGGTGGGTCGTTAGCAGAACCCAGAAAGCACAGTAATCCATCTAGCTAAGCTACCACCACCATCACCTGCTACGTACTGCATGTATGATGTATGCACCATCACTTTATATACAACATATATAATTACTTATACAAAATTAAACAACGTACCTATGGAATATTATAATATATATGGTTGAAATAGTGAACTTAGGTCACCTCCAACCCAATTTACATCAAAATACCATTTTTTTCATCAAATGTCACATTATATTCTCAGCATATTCTCACACCAAAATTTATTCATCTCAAATCCATTTATACCAAAATATCAAATTTCTACACTAAAATATAATTTAATTTCTCAATTATTAGTTGAAATATAATTAGTTTAATATAATTTGATTCGAACTTAATTAGTTTAATATATAAAATAACTTGTGATGTAAATAATAATTTTTATTAATATTAATTTTTTATAACATTAATTATTTTAAAAAATTGAACTTAACAATATTATGTTCTAGTTATATTTGATGTATTTAAAATTTTAATTAATATATATTCAATATTAGTCTTATTTCGATCGTCTCAATGAGATATTTAAAATGGTATAATTTATATTTATAATACAAATTTTAAATATAAATATTTAACAAAATAAAAAATTACTTATAAAATAAATAAAAGATACATTTGGAATTAGAAAAAGAATGCATGAAGGGTTTATTTCACTAGTTGAAGAAAGTGAGGAGAGATAAATAGTAATGTTTAATTTTTTTTTTTGAAACATTAATTTTTAAAATACATAGAAAAAAGGGTGAATTAGTGGCTGGGGTGAATGTTGCATGCAATAGTGTAAGTGTGTATCCTTGGTTTTATGAAGAGAGAGAAGGTGATGTAAAATAATAATGTTGGGTAGTCCATCCATGATCCATATTATAGTTTAGCTTACGAAGAGAGAGTTGAATATGATGTCAGCGTTGGAGTGTATATATATCAAATATACATCAGTCATCACCATTTCAAAACCGAACCACGTGAATGATTGTTTCTACATTAATTTTTTCAATGTGAAATCCGCATACTATCTCTCGCCTCTCTCTCTCTCTCACTCCCCATTCTCTTCCAGCCCCAACCCAGATTGAAGTTTCTCTCTCCTCTCACAACACTCTCTAACCCTAACAATGAACTCTCATTCTTCTTCTTCTTCTTCTTCCGACGAAAGCCCCACTATCACTCCTTCTCCGGCGACTTCGGATCTCTCTTCATCAGAAAAGATGGCCCAACCTCTGCAGGACTTGAAGAAGGAGGTATCTATAAGCTAACTTCATAAATCTGAGTCTGAGTGGCCTGGCCTTGTTGATATTGTGTAGGGAATAGATCAGATCAGACTTGCTAACATCTGAGTGTATATTTCATTTTCTTGAACAGGAGGAGGAGTTGGAGAAAGGGTTGAAGAATGGGAGATTATCAGAAGAAGAAGCTCCTCAGGAGAAGGTATCTCTATTATATGTTTTAATTTGGTGCGTGCTATAAGCTATAAGCTAGCTAGGACTGAAACTTGATGGCCATATTGGTAGAAAATTGCACCGTATAGTATTATTTATTATTTATTATTTATTATTTATATATAATAACAGCATGATGGAGTACGTACTAGGAATAGGAATATATGTATGTTTAATAATTTCATAAATCTGATGAGTGGGCTTCTTGATAATATTGGTAGAAATTTGCAAAGTTTGAATATATATATATATAGGTAGACTTGCTAGTTAAGATGTTGTGTAGTTCGTTGTGTATATCTCGATCATACTGAGATATAGTCATCATATCACTGCACCCTCTTATTAGGGGTCCTTTAATTTGACAATCCCTTCCTTAGCCCCTCCCTCAGCTGCGCTCCTTACGATGAGGATACGATATATCTGAATGAATAATAACGAGTCTGTACAGGAGTATATATAGTAGTGAATAGTAAACCTATTACAAGACGAATACTAATAATAATAGGTAACGAATACTAATTACTAATAATAATAGGTAACGAATACTAATGATGATAGAGTTCTAATACTCCCCCTCAAGCACAAGGTGGATTAGCAACAACATTGAGCTTGCCACATAGAGTAGAGAAACGCGGACCAGGGAGAGCTTTAGTGAACACATCAGCGAGCTGATCCTTTGTGGAAATGAAGCTAACCTGCAACTTCTTCTTCGCCACTTTGTCACGAACAAAGTGGTAATCAATTTCCACATGCTTCGTACGAGCATGGAACACCGGGTTGGAACAGAGATAAGTCGCACCCAAATTATCACACCAGAGAGTGAGAGGAGCAGCCAATGACACTCCAAGCTCGTGTAACAGAGAAACCAACCAGGTGACCTCCGCAGACACATCAGCCAGAGCCTTGTATTCAGCCTCTGTAGACGAACGAGCAACCGTACGTTGCTTCCGACAAGACCAGGAAATCAGATTGCCACCAAGAAAAACCGCAAAACCACTAGTAGACTTCCTGTCAGCTGGATCACCAGCCCAGTCCGAATCCGAAAAGGCATGAACCGCAACAGAGGAGGAAGGATGAATAAAAAGACCAAAGTGCAGAGTTTCTTTTACATACCGCAGAACACACTTGAGCATAGCCCAATGCTCAGTGGTTGGAGAGTGCATATGCTGACAGACCCAATTCACAGCAAAAGAGAGATCCGGACGAGTAACAGTAAGCTACTGTAGAGCCCCAGCAAGACTGCGATACTGCGTGGGATCCGCATAGGGAACCACAGAATCAGAAGAAGGTCGGGACACAGGAACCGGAGTAGCCAACGGTTTACAGTCCACCATACCTGCACGGCTCAAAATATCTCGCATGTATCGCTGCTGAGAAAGAAACAAACCACCATCCTTGGAGACCGTCTCAATGCCAAGAAAAAAAGACGGAGCACCCATGTCACGAATCTTAAACTCCGAGGCTAAGTCAGTAAGAAGCCGAGTAACACACGAAGCATCAGACCCCATAACAAGGATATCATCAACACAGACAAGCAAATATAAACAAATAGAGGCACGAGTATAGATGAATAAAGAAACATCAGTTTTGGAGGGTGAAAAACCAACCGACACCAAGAAAGCATGCAACCTATTGAACCACGCTCGAGGAGCCTGCTTAAGACCATAGAGTGACCTCTGTAACAAACACACATCATCCGGCCGTGACTGGTCTTCATAACCGGGCGGCTGTCTCATGTAAACTGTCTCTGCAAGATTACCATTGAGGAAGGCGTTGTGAACATCCAACTGCCGAATGACCCAACCGCGAGAAACGGCTAAAGAGAGAAGAAGCCGCACGGTGGTGGGTTTGACAACAGGACTGAAAGTCTCAAAAAAGTCTTGCCCAGCGACTTGATTGAAACCCTTTGCGACCAATCGAGCCTTGTGCCGCTCAATCGTGCCATCGGCCTTGCGCTTCGTTCTGAACACCCATTTGCACCCCACAACATTCATGCCAGGTGTACGACTAACCAGACGCCAAGTGTGATTCTGGAGCAAGGCATTAAACTCAAGATCCATGGCCTCACGCCACTCCCAATACCGAACTGCCTGAGAATAACAAGTCGGTTCAGGAACAGTCATATGAGCCACATGCTGCGTCGGTCCTTGAGAACGGGTTGCCATGACATGAGACCGAGGCTGAACAGGCTTCGCCGTACGGCGGCCTCGCTTGGGCGCAGTAGGAGCACCCGAGACCGCCCCTTCCGGAGCCGTAGCAGTCACGGTGCGAGAATCTGAACCAGCTGCGGTAGCCCCGGAATCCGCGTCCAACTCTGGATGAGGATCAGGTCCAGTGGGACAAACATCGGAGCCAACACCAACCCGAACGGCACCAACACCCCACGGCTCAACCGGGCGAGAGCTAGAGACCTGAGAAGGCATAGAAGAAGCAAACGGATATACGGTTTCATCAAACCGTACATGACGACAAATGAATACCTTGTTAGTAGCAGGATCTAAACAACGATAGCCACGAAACGAAGACGGATAACCAAGAAACACACACGGGGATGACCGATACTGCAACTTGTTACGATTGTACGGGCGCAACAGAGGATAACAGAGACAACCAAACACACGCAAGAAGGAATAAGAAGGATTAGAATGATGCAAACGATAATGAGGACTGACATTGTCTAGAACTCGAGTAGGCATTTTATTGAGGGGGAGGAATCATTAATTTGGGGATATTTTTAAATTTTTAAAATTTTTGCTTTTGCTTGGATGACTCATATGCTATTTTTGGTGAATAAGTTACTTGTCTTAGCATGCAGTTACAATTATTCTCTCTTGTTGGTTTGTGGTTTGTTTTAGTGGTGCTTGCTGCATCTCAATTTGTGATGGATGATTTGAGGTGTAACACATATTTGATCTATTCCCTTGCCAATAGCTTTGTTAACCACTTAATAATTGGATTAATTCTTGATCTTGTGTTTTGCATTGCTAGTGAAGGCTTATGTGAGATTCCGGTCATGAGTGTTTTGCTAGAACTTGCCTCATTACTCCCTAAGTGATGTCTAA